GGAGGGAAAGGATTTTGAAAGGAGGAAAAAGTAGAAAAATCTTATTTCGTTAGTTTTTTTTCGGGGGGGAGTGGGGAGGGGGAGGGGGGGGAGGGGGGGGGGGAATAACGTAAACGTTCGTGTTTAATGAGCGATGTTAATCAGAATAATTGCTTTCACGTTTGCCTTATCAACGAATTCCAGCGAAGAGAATGGTCAAACGGAATTTCTCCTTCAGAAATTTCTATTTAAGAAATGTGCTTGTTCTTGCGTTCCCCGTTCTCGTTTATTTCTCTCAGGTGCGTAACCAAAGTATCGAAAAACATTCTAGATAGCGATTTTTTTTCATTTACATTTTTTTTTTGCCTCGTTCGAAGGTGATGTGAATTTGTGCCAATTTTGAGCTTGCGCGAATTCAGGAGATTTGCACGAAGTCGCTGTAATTATGTAATCAATCAGGAAGAGTGAATAGCAAGGAAAGTGCTGATGCCCTCGCCTTCAAGTTAAAATAAAAAATTATTAATAAATTATTTATAAAATACACAATTAATGAATAATTTATGCACGAAAGAAGGCATTTCAGTCGATTTTTTCCGTTTTCATAATTTCATATTTTACTCCAGTCATGCTCGCCAGCACGACGACAACGAAAACGCATGCCACCCCTTCCCCCCCTTCCCCCTTCCCCCTTCCCCCTTCCCCGCCTCCCCTTCGGGTCGTTTTCAGTTGTTTCGGGAGCGGAAGTATGCTAAAGGGACCGTACTGAGAGAGCCGATCCGTCGTCGTCGCATCGCCGGACTGACGGAAAATGGGGAAATTTGACCTTTTCAAGCAAATCGTAAGGGATTTTTCTCACAGCCGCTCAATATCCATATCTATACCGGTCTCTATATCGCTTTGAAAACGGGGGGGGGGGGAATCCTGAGATGAGGACAGCCATATGCAATAGATCATTTTGCGAAGGAAAAATCCTCGTCTTCTGCATGACAATGGAATATATCAACAGCAGGCGTCAAGGAAATAACTGAATCCGAATCGGTGAGATCCCAGGCGATCAAGGATCAGACCTCGGACTGCAAAATGGCCATTCCCGATACCACTTATTGGCACTCCATCCACAAGATACTGGCGGTGGACCTCACACACCGGCAGTGGACCTCACACACCAGCGGTGGACCTCACCAAGTCATCAGAAGTGAAACCGTACGTGATGCAGAAAGAAGACGCACGTGCATCGCTTGGAAATTCTCGGAAGCCCACGCACGGTCACGTTTCACGTGTCCGTTGGACTGGGTCTCCAGCAAGTTCTGCTTGTTTTGTCTTCGAGGTGCGAAACAACGTGGACTTTTATTTGCTTCGTGGCATTAGCTTATTAATCCTGTCGCGATCGGGAAGTCCAGTTCGAAGGAAAGGGTTGATTCGTCTGTTTCCCCCTCGCCCCCCCCCTTCGGCCCCCTCTCGCCCCCCCTTCGGCCCCCCGTTTTCGACACATTTTCGATCGACAGCGACGCGGCGCGGATCAACGCTCTTGCCGCCAAGTTTGAAGGAATTTCGGCGAGTTTCTTCAAAGAAACGTTCCCCTCGAACTCGAGACATGTTCGCCTCGTTGTCGGCTACTTCTTACTTAAGGCGGTGTTTGTACTCTTTGCATGCGTGGGAAAAAAGAATTCTCGGGGCAAACCCTTTCAAACCTGCCAACAAAAATAACATGAAAAGTTGTCATCTCATCCCATACTTGGCGGGTTTGTGCCAAGAAGGCGCCGCTCCCGTCGCAACAACGTTTCATTTTGGACTCAGCGCAAGACTTCACGTGGATGTAAGCATCCCTCATGCCACGCGCGAGATCTCAAAGAGAGCCAAGTTTCTGACGAATCCGCCGCGTGCGTCCTGCTTCCTTCGCCTTCCGCGCTCGACTGCGCCCAGCGCACGAAAGACGACGAAAGAGACCTCCGATTTCTCGATGCACGCGGATGCCTGCGGAGGAGGTCCCGCTCTCGCGGGAATCGCGTCCAGCCCGATGGCGTTAACGAGACCGGAAGGTGAGACCGCTCCGGATACCTATCGAATGCGTCGCGAAGTGGAGTGATTGGCGTTTGAATAAGCTTCAATGTAACATGATGGAGTCGTGACTAATCGGAACGATCATAAATCAACTAATTGGGATAAAACGGAATTAGCGAGTCATTACAAGTTCCAGTAGATGAGTAATGACATGGAAACTCAATTAAATCCTCATCGTTCCTCTGTTTGATCAGAATTGAATCCGTTCGTTTTATCAACAATTTATTTTTATGGATACTCATTAAGAGCTTCGAAGTAATTGTAGGCCATGGGACCCTTAAAAGAACATTAACTTCTTACACGAATTTTTGGTGCGGAGAAAAAAAAAAATCGGTCAATCCTGCAGTTGTCCGTGTCCCCATAGGTATGCATCTTCAATCTTCGAATAAATCGGTGCACATTTTCGTCCGGGAAAAACACTCTTCATTACCGTTGTCTGCCTTTGACAACCGTGACTCTATTATAACCGATGTGATAAGACAAGTTGGTACGAAAACTTTCCTCTTTCGGCGAGAGACTAACAATGGGCATGGATTTCCGAATATTTTACTCGCAATCTTCAGTGTGCTCAAGAAGACAAAACAAAACAAAGGGAAATATGTAAAAAATGCCTGTAAAAGATGAGACGAAGATGCGCACATGCATTACTGTAGCAGTTACTTAATAGGCAAATCAAGGAGTGGCGCGCTTTTTCCCTTCACCGTATCCGGTATGTTCCGCGAACATTCTGCATTCGCTGACGGAATGCGTGTTGGCGGAAGAGATGAACGCGATTAGGTGACGCTGGAGAACCAGACTCAGACCGACAATCTCATCTACTTCTCTTTTTCCGCGATCATTAAGCGCTGTGCAAGAGGGAAAATGGGAATTTCATAACTAGCGAGGGCCTTCGTTTCAATATCCACAAAAAATAAAAATAAAACACCAGAAAAAAGAGACGTATGCATTTCCTCATTTTGGATTTAATAGAAGGGAGAAGCTTGCCCTACACTCAAACTTGGAAAAAAAAAACTGAGGCAAATAAACGATTCTCGATGAAAGAATCTGTCAGTAGCATGAGACGAGGTAATGATTACCAGACTCGGGCTTAAAGGAACTGAAAATGCTTCCTGGTTTATCGCAGCCTTGTCAATTAACAGCAATTTTCACAGAGTGACAAACCGTGAATGGACTAAGCTCTTACTTACACAAAATCTTAAATTCACGGAATCTGAATAGAATCATGATGAATACCTCCCAAAAGAGATAGTCCATCTTGCAAAATGAAACTTCGTTTCGCAACTCATGAACATTCACTTCCGAGATGGTAAGCAAAAGGTTTCATTCCCCAAGACCCGCACTGGTACACTCATAAGACCGTGATACATGAAGCAAGCTATTGGATTATTCCTGCTGATCTGCAGGCGTGGAAAGAACAGCAATCAGGACTTACTATAAGGAATCACTTTATTCTAAATGATATAATTACAGATATGTAGCAAATCCCATACATATCAAGAGATCAACTGGGAGCTTGAGAGATGTGCTCAGGCAGCTTCTCCACTGCATGCTGGAAGAAGAATTTCCAAACTAAGAATACTAAGCACATTTTACCAGCACTGCTGATATGGGATTTCTCAGGGCACAATAAATATATTTTATATCAAATGATTTTTTATAAAATAAAGCATGGGGAAGTTTTCTCATTGGAAAAAAAAATTATATATATATATATTTTTTTTTACTGAGGTTCCAACACCTCTACTACATTCTACATGCTGCCAGTCTACATTGTAGCCATGAATTGCAAAAGGCATCCAAAACCAAAAATAAAGAGCTCTTGCCTTGGTAACCTTCATCATGACTCCCTCGGGAAGGTTCCTCTGAATGTACTCCAAGAAAGTGTCAGCTGTAGATCCTGTCAGATGCTGAAACTGCAACACCCGGTAATAGGTCCGCACCTCATAGTGTACCTGATGTTTCTTGAAGATATGTATCGACTTCAAAACATTTCGCTGGTAATGATGGTAATGCTTCTCAAACCTGCAATATTATTTCTTCCCTTATTCAGATAGAACACAAAACAAGTGGCTGGGGTTCAGAGTAAAAAAACAAAAACATTTCTCTATACAAAACAAAAATTACGTTTGCTTGACAGGAATATTGAGGTGTTTGGCAGCCATCAGGGAGTAAGTTTCATAGCTGCGCAGCACAGCTGGGTCATGGCCTTGGACCTCTACTTCAACCATTTTGTATAGCTTGTCTGGCTCTTCCTCAGCAGCCACCTGCACACAGACACAAGGTCACGGACCATGCCCCTAGATGCTGGGGAGGGAAAGGGAAATTACCACCAACCTGAGGCACAGTGCTTAAAGCTGGTGACCCTGAGCAAGCCCTGAAGATTGGCATTACTCGGTGTAGGTTCAAGTATCTCTGTAGGATACTCATGGGGTTGCCCTGAAATGCTAAGCGCAATGGCCTGCCAAGTTGCAACATGGATGAATGCAGTGAGTTGATAGATAAAACAAATTTCATCAAGGTCAGGGAATGATAAATTCGTGCAATGGACAAGTAAAAGATGCATCTGGAGGATATATCGGATGGCTGAATTCCACATCCAGCTCCTTCATGGAACTTCCTCTCAGTGATTCCACTGTTATCATTCTAGATCCTAACTTGCATTGAATTTACCAGGAAGCCACAGGATGTACCATTTATGATAAGTGATTCTTTAGTATACCATCACCTTATACTAATGGGTGCTAATCCAGTCATATCTCACTGAAAATCAGTTCTTCCCATCAAAACAACAGTTGGCACTTCTGTAAGGTGCAAGATTGCATCTGACTGTTCTTGGTGTCACACAACTTTGATCTGCAAAATGAGAAAAAGGAAATATCTGCATCATTTTCTGTCATGCAATTTTAATTTTCCACATCACCAGAAACACCACTAACCTCCACAGCACTATTTGATTAGGCAACTTGTAATAAGAGGACAACAGTCACAGAAACTCAGAATTACATGAGATTCAATGGAGGGCATGGAAATGCATGCTTTGATGCAAGGAAAGCTTATTGCTGGCAACATGACATCAAATTGAATGAATTCCAACTCAATCTCCACTTCACACTTTGCTATCAAGCACTTTTTGCATACAGACTCACTCATATAAGTATTAATAGGGGTGAATAGGTTTGAGTAGAGACTAGAGCCACTCAATTACAAGTGGACCTGAGGAACTTCGATAGGCAAAGGCAAGACAACACAACATTCAAGTTCAATATTGTTCAAAGTACATGTTTGGCAAAAAAACGAAGTCCACACCAGCTCGCTAAAAAGCCTTTTAATCTAATACTTTTCACTCTGTATATTCTGTGTCTCTAACAATGGCATGAGCAACCTCAAGCACTCCAATAGACCTATTCTACAAGCTACTGTAATAAAATAACTCACACATTATTGTATATCAATTCCAAGCAATAAAAAAACCTATACTCTTTGGTATAAAAGAAGAAAAAAAAGGGGAGAGGGTAGGGGGGAAGGGCATCCTTGCACTGAAGGATAAATGAGTAATAAAAATAAGGCACCCTTCAAGGGCTGAAAATAAGCCATCACTTCATCATGTGCAAATGAAAGATATTATGAAAAGAAATTATATTAAGTGAGACAAATAGAAAATATGGCCAAAAGAGTAAAAAAATATAGCCAAAAGAGTAAAGACAATGCAAGCCTCCTTCTGTTCCAAAATATTTGAATAAGTAGATCTCCTTGAATGGAAATCTCTATCTATGGAAATTTTCAGGTATATTTAGGGATAGAATTGTCTCAACTCAAGAATTGAGACCATTAGTTCCATAAGAGTGCATTTCACTTCTCAAACCCACAGACATAGAATAGAGAGGCTCATGCTGTCAGCTACAAGGCTCACCAAATGAGTATGTGAACAGGAGCAATGCATCTATGATCAAAGGACGAGACAATCAATTTAAAAAAAACCAAATGAGGTACCATCTTTCTTGAAGTGAGCAAACAATTTCATTAACCTTATATTGCATAAAATAATAGAAAATACACTTGCAAAATTTCAGGGCAGCCAAAAAATGGAAAACATGAAGCCCTGCCTGCTATGCAATCCTCTAACAGCCTACTCAAATGATAAAAGCTTATGAGAGTTGCCTCTAAGAAAATACCAGGCATTGCTAGAAGCAAACAAGGTCAATCAAGGCTATCTTCATATACAAACTGCTGTTGATTTGAATTTACATTATGCAATATAAGGTTAGGTAGCCAGGCCTCAGGCGATCACATACAGCATTTTGAACATCAAATTAAAGCAAAAATGTAGGCTATACAGTAGAGATAGAGTGGAGATACAACTGTGATCATGAGCTTTTATGGTATTCTACTGCATTCAGACCACACAAAGTATTTCCACTAAACATTATGAACTCTACTAGTACATTATATTTTTATCTTAGAAATTTGCTCTTTGGTATGAATTTCAGATTTTGGTGACCTACAAGCATTAGGATTATTATTTTACTTGTTCCATGTTGCAAATTCAAAATGGAGGGAAAAAACTGAACCCAAAGACTGCTTAGACAAAGTCTGAACCAAATATGCTTCAAAATAACACTGGAGCACAGGCATAGCAAGCATGCAGGTATAGATTTGAGAAAGACCAACATCTTTTAACCTATACACAGTTGGTCAGAAGTTATTTTCACAAAGATTGTGCAGTGCATAGGTAGATGCAATCCCAACAGATCATATGAATTAACACATTGACTGCCAGGATTTGTGATATGCTATGGCCCTGTCAGCGACATGTGGATGACATGGCAGTCAATGTGTTAAATAAAAATTTGTTTTACTGAGCAAGGCTAAAAGCAAACATTAAAAAGAAACTAAAAACTGAAACTGGATGAAGGATTCCAGTCTCTTTGGAGAGATTAGACCCCATCTACTTTGTTCTCTGACATATATCAATGGAAAATCTGAATAAACTTATAGTGAAATCTTTGTATTGAAACTTATTGATTATTCACTCATTAACTGGAAAAAAGCTTCCTATCAGCAAAAACAGACCAGTCCAAAGAATGAATTTTAAAGGAAGAGTTCAATGTGATCTAGATGACATGCTATGACAGTGAAGCATTTCTCCACTTGACAATCTCCANCTTTTCACTCTGTATATTCTGTGTCTCTAACAATGGCATGAGCAACCTCATGCACTCCAATAGACCTATTCTACAAGCTACTGTAATAAAATAACTCACACATTATTGTATATCAATTCCAAGCAATAAAAAAACCTATACTCTTTGGTATAAAAGAAGAAAAAAAAGGGGAGAGGGTAGGGGGGAAGGGCATCCTTGCACTGAAGGATAAATGAGTAATAAAAATAAGGCACCCTTCAAGGGCTGAAAATAAGCCATCACTTCATCATGTGCAAATGAAAGATATTATGAAAAGAAATTATATTAAGTGAGACAAATAGAAAATATGGCCAAAAGAGTAAAAAAATATAGCCAAAAGAGTAAAGACAATGCAAGCCTCCTTCTGTTCCAAAATATTTGAATAAGTAAATCTCCTTGAATGGAAATCTCTATCTATGGAAATTTTCAGGTATATTTAGGGATAGAATTGTCTCAACTCAAGAATTGAGACCATTAGTTCCATAAGAGTGCATTTCACTTCTCGAACCCACAGACATAGAATAGAGAGGCTCATGCTGTCAGCTACAAGGCTCACCAAATGAGTATGTGAACAGGAGCAATGCATCCATGATCAAAGGACAAGACAATCAATTTAAAAAAAACCAAATGAGGTACCATCTTTCTTGAAGTGAGCAAACAATTTCATTAACCTTATATTGCATAAAATAATAGAAATTACACTTGCAAAATTTCAGGGCAGCCAAAAAATGGAAAACATGAAGCCCTGCCTGCTATGCAATCCTCTAACAGCCTACTCGAATGATAAAAGCTTATGATAGTTGCCTCTAAGAAAATACCATGCATTGCTAGAAGCAAACAAGGTCAATCAAGGCTATCTTCGTACAAAAACTGCTGTTGCTTTGAATTTACATTATGCAATATAAGGTTAGGTAGCCAGGCCTCAGGCGATCACATACAGCATTTTGAACATCAAATTAAAGCAAAAATGTAGGCTATACAGTAGAGATACAGTGGAGATACAACTGTGATCATGAGCTTTTATGGTATTCTACTGCATTCAGACCACACAAAGTATTTCCACTAAACATTATGAACTCTACTAGTACATTATATTTCTATCTTAGAAATTTGCTCTTTGGTATGAATTTCAGATTTTGGTGACCTACAAGCATTAGGATTATTTTACTTGTTCTATGTTGCAAATTCAAAATGGAGGGAAAAAACTGAACCCAAGGACTGCTTAGACAAAGTCTGAACCAAATATGCTTCAAAATAACACTGGAGCACAGGCATAGCAAGCATGCAGGTATAGATTTGAGAAAGACCAACATCTTTTAACCTATACACTGCTGGTCAGAAGTTATTTTCACAAAGATTGTGCAGTGCATAGGTAGATGCAATCCCAACAGATCATTGACTGCCAGGATTTGTGACATGCTATGGCCCTGTCAGCGACACGTGGATGACATGGCAGTCTATGTGTTAAATAAAAATTTGTTTTACTGAGCAAGGCTAAAAGCAAACATTAAAAAGAAACTAAAAACTGAAACTGGATGAAGGATTCCAGTCTCTTTGGAGAGACTAGACCCCATCTACTTTGTTCTCTGACATATATCAATGGAAAATCTGAATAAACTTATAGTAAAATCTTTGTATTGAAACTTATTGATTATTCACTCAGTAACTGGAAAAAAGCTTCCTATCAGCAAAAACAGACCAGTCCAAAGAATGAATTTTAAAGGAAGAGTTCAATGTGATCTAGATGACATGCTATGACAGTGAAGCATTTCTCCACTTGACAATCTCCATGACCTTTAGTCCATTTTCAAAATCCAACTTTCATTGAATGTTTATGGCCTTACCTCAGGATAACAAATATTTATGAAACATTAAAGATCTGTAGGAAACACCCATCTATTCACAATGCAAGTTTCATGAAACAAGCTCCAGAGGGAACAGAGAAACGAGGATAAACATTTAGGTTTGTTGCCTAACCCCTAAGTTTAACTAGAATATACTACCATCAATGAAATTCAATGAAATAGTTAACTCCCGAACTCCATGCTGTTAGAAGAGATACAGAAGAGCAACTTAAAAATCTGTTTGGTCTTTTGAGTTCACATTCTTGGAAATATCAATTTAGCAACCTCACAGCCTTGTGATATCTCTCAAAAGTCTGACACTTTACAACTAACCAGGTATATACTCAAGGCTGATATGGGAATTTTAGATAGAATGTGATAACAGAACATGCTGCAAGAACATCTTCATTGCAGCCAGCTAATTAAGTTCTAGTTAACATGCTGAAAATGTCATGCCTCTGTGATGACAAAATGCAAAGAACAGGCCAACCATTTCATGATGCACAACATGTCATGGAGGGAGGAAAGGAGATGGAACAGAGTGAGGATAGCTCATACTTCGTAGTAAGTGAAGTGAGCAGTGCTCCGTGGTGCACTTTGACATGGAAAAAACCACAAGAATGGATGTCCTCGACCACACACTTCGCTAAGGAGAGCCATAGCTGGCTTGCGGGGACGATATGGACCTGCCTTCTGCACTTGCTCCACAGCGGTCTCGTCACTCATGATGGCCGAAAACTGATCCACCATGATGGCAATGACGAACATCCCAAACAGCAGACTCTCCAGAACCAAGATCACAGAATGAATCCTGAATAAAGATAAAGGAAATAGGAATCCCAAATATGAATTATGTACGTACAAGGACAAAGGCAGCCCAGTTTGTCTATAACTGCTGACCATTAATGAAAACAAGCTAATTGAAACTCCCCACCTGCTGCACACTAATTTACCTCAGCCTCCTCATCCAATACATTGCTAGATCAGATATCCACACCCTTTGGCTCCACCAACTTAGCTCCTCAGTTAGCAGTCAACTGTATAGGATGACTTCTTTTTATTAGCAACAGGCTCCTAACTCAGTAAAGAAAACGTTAACATATTTGGGAACAGGACTGGAAATTGGGTTAGCTAGGAATCATTAACTGGTAACTTCTGAATCTGTTCTCACTGTTCTCAGAGTAGTTTTCTAAGTCAATGTATCCCTCAGAAGAAATGTTCCTGAGGTAGTGGCATTTGCTGTCATGACATCAAAGATTTTGACTGGTAAAAATGGCACTATTCTAATGATTTTGTCTCCTAAACTAATCAAATGATGTCAGCTCAATGAACTCTCAACAAGTTGAGGGTTCATGTATCTCATGGATCTGTTCTGTTTCAATCTTCAGTGACCACCATATTTAAAAACTTATTACAGTTTTATGCTTGTACTCCAGGTTAGAAAGTTTGCTCACCATTCAAAGTGTCTATGGTGTCAAGCATCCTACATGATCAGGTTTAAAATAGTGGCCTTTAGTTATCAACAACTTTCAAGTTTTAACAAAACCTACTACCATGAGTTTTACATTTGAACACATGTGGATGTCTTAAATACAACAGGTCATAAATAAATATGTTTTACATTTTTTGAGCTCACTGGGTGCACATATATATGCCACACCAAGGTGAAATACTAAACTGTGAAAATTGACTGTCAAGGCAAAGATTCAAGCAATAAGTGAGTTTTTGATTAAAAAATCATGTCCTACCCTAAAATGAACCAAGTAACATTTTCATAATTTCACTTTCCCATCTTTGCTTCCTGACTCATTTCTCAAAGAAATATCATCTTGGTTCTTCCATGAATCTATGAAGTATTTCACATCCCAGTTTTCAAAAACAGGACAAGAACTTACACTCGACTTTGCTTCACAACCATAGGTTCCTTCTCACACGCTTCACACGGATAGGCAAGCGATAAAATAATGAGGATCAGTGCATGCAGTGCCAAGAGGCCAATCCAGATCAAAAACTGGATGAAATACTTCTGATTCCACTCCCCCACACAGTTGTTGATCCTGTAGAGAAATTAACAAGATGAGGTCACAGGTAAGCATTAGTTTGTAAAGAAACAAACATGCATGAATGTTAATTTTTCATCTGAACATGGCACATACCAAGGACAGTGGTGGTCCATGCGTCGAACGCATCGCCGGCAGATGCGACAGTGATGAGCCCGCGGAGGTCTGTATGTCTCACATCTCACACAAACTGTCCAATCCTCTCTCATTTGTTTTTGCTGATCCCCTCCTGAAGGGATAAAGAAGATGAAAATCATACTTCCAAGTGAATGAATTGCAAGGAAAAAGAGGAAAAGAGAGGAGGATTCTTGGCAAGGACCTGAATGCAGATCTGAGAAATCAACCTTGCTCTTCGGGAGTGGAACAACTCCAGGATCAGAGAAAACTGCTCTCACATGAGACATGATGGCCAGGAATGCCAAGGTATTGAACAGCAGGGCATTGAAGGTCCCCCACAAGCTGGAGACAAGAAAAACAAATTATTGGGAAATTGTGACAGGTAGAAGTTCAAAATATACATCCAGTATGATTATTGAAAACCCCTATTTCCATATTGAGAACAGTAACATACAGAAATAGCATCAAGCAAGAACAAAATTGATGTTCTTGGTGTTCACATTATTAATGCACTTTTGCTAAAAATAACATCCATCTTAAGTACTTCAGAAGGGCAAGGAAGAAAGCTGAAGACCCTTAATTTTTCATTTTACACCTTAAGGCATGAATAAACCCTGAATAACAAATTTGTGCAATTCTGAAGATCAATGGATGAAAGTTTTCAATGCTGTAGCTATGACAGGAGTCTTGTCAACAGAAAGGAATGTCATACCTGTTGGCCATGGTGTCGAGGACCACCCAGCGCATGATGACATAGTCTGCATAGAAAACAGCAGCATATGTGACAAAGAGACAGATTATCCCACACGGGTCTGGGCGAAACACCACCATGGTTCTTCATGACCCGAATTGCATTCACATATGATACATCTCACGCTCTTCCATTTTCACGGTCACTGCCTACAATGTTGCAGGAGAAAAAAACTATCAATGAATACAGAACAGAAATAACATGATACAGCAGAATTTAAATTCTAAACAGACTCAATGCAAGTTCAAATGAATTTTTGAATGAAATGAATAAAATATCTGTAAATTCGTCAATCAATGAAGAAGTGGAAAACTTCTTCTGGCAATGCAGCACAGACTGCAATGCAGACTGAATATACATTGAAAACAAGATGGATGGCAACTCAGGAAGTCAGTTTCTCCATTCAATAGGATTCAAAATCAAAATCACTCATGAGATCCACAGTAAGCAGCAGACCAGTGCAGTGCAAAAAACGAAACAATGAATGCCCAGCCAAGGCATTAGTGAAAACTCCAAGTGAAGTCTCACTAAATTGCAGCACTATTGTGCTCACTCATCCTCTTCTTGCTCAATCACGTAAGGCTGGTGATCTACAACGCGCTGCTTCGAGTGACACTGCAGAATCCACTCTGGCTTCACAAAATCAATGTCCTTTTTCACCTTCAGGGCCTAAAAGGTAACAACCAAAAATGTGACAATATTATCCCACAAAAACAACAAATGATATCATACGACACCGGCCCTAGCTATTCCGGTGTCGTATGATATTTTTTCCCCCCGTAATATTTTTCCCCACCTCCATTAATGGAAATGAAGGGAGTTCGTTTTAAAAAGTAGAATTGTAAGTTTGTCGATTGCCGAAAGAGAATATAATCTTTACAGTCAGAAACTGACCAAACGATATCATAGCAGAACATCCTCCTGCAGAGGACGATGTTTCTTCCTCCCTGCCTTCATGTCAGCTGCCCTTCCTTTGCCTTTTACCTCCGTTGCCTGGAATCTTTGATGNCAAACGATATCATAGCAGAACATCCTCCTGCAGAGGACGATGTTTCTTCCTCCCTGCCTTCATGTCAGCTGCCCTTCCTTTGCCTTTTACCTCCGTTGCCTGGAATCTTTGATGTGGCTTTCAAGATCACCCCGAGGAGTCGACACTGGCTTAGACGTTAGCGAAGCAGATGGAGGCGCAAAAGGAACACTAAAAGGCATGGAAGAAATAGCCACCGAGGAACGAGGCGAAGTTCCTTCATTTCCATTAATGGAGGTGGGAAAAATATCATACGACACCGGCGCCCCGTGCAAAGAGACTACCAGCAGCCCATCCCCCTCCCTCCACCACCCATTCCCCCCGAAGGAAGAAAGGTCAATCCCTAATGTCCAAAAAGACACTGAAATGGAAGGTATTTCCAGTTTCTGAAGTAAACCCGAGGGGGGCATCCATAATTGCTCATACATTCTGGCACCCCTGATGAATTTGCGCCCTGAGTGGGGACACATGTGGCACATGCCTAAGGCCGGCCCTGCCCGCAGAAAATTTCGCGATGATCCGACACGAATTCCAAATTAGGTCGAGCGAGCAAAAATGTACCCCGCATTACTCTATCTCAGTCTCCTCTGGATGGCCCCAGCCCAAGACCCACATACAACTCTACCTCCTTCTCGCTACCGCTTCTATACTTACTGCTCACTTTTCCCGTAACCCGTTCACCTTTTCCATGTCATCCCAAGTACGTACTCATCATGCACCTACGTGCTTGCCTGCAGGATAATGATTTGGGACGATGCCGAAAGGGTTAAAGCCAACTAATAAACACTCCCTTAGTCGTGAACAGAGCGTCTCCTTTCTTCGGACAAACCACAATCTCGTATCAGTATCATTCAAGTGTTCGTGCGTGTGCAATTTCGTTGCTCTGATTTTGCCTAAATGCTGAAACCTCATTCTAGAGAGATGAAGGGCCTTTAAGCTATTGAGCTCTTTTCCCCCCATAGGAGTCCATGGTTCCTTGAGGGACAGTTAACAAGTGGAGGTTTCATCATTCAGGCCTCATTCTTTTGTCGTAATATGACCTAAGATGGGGGAGAGCGGGGGTGGAGGGTGAATCAACTGCAACTCTACCAGACCCATTCAGGTTTAAGCATAAGAGGAAATCCTTTGCCAACTTTCGATGTTCCAACTGTTAATGGTCTCCACACATTTCCCTTCATTTCCCAAAAGTTACATAGGTTAGCTGAAAATACGCACAGTCAGTATGCCTTCCAGTCCCATGGGATATAAAACTGGACTCTGTGAGACATTCATCATGATTATTTGTACTGGTACTGGTTATATTGGATCTCTCTTGATGAATATTGGTTTATCGAATATTAGTAAAAATTCCTCATCAGTAACATCCTTAATGAAAATTCAATATGAGACTCGCCTTCTTGAGGGAATCAGTCCCTTCATCCTGAGTTATGGCAAAATGGACATTTTTGGTGAATTGAGGTTCCAGTTTTCCTCCATATGCAATGATGTATCGCTTCACCCGTTTCTCCAGATCACCATCTATTTTCCCAAGCAAGCTGAATACTTTCCCCTTGAAAAAGTTCGGCAAAGGTGGCCAATCTAAATTAGACACATCCTCTTTCTGCTCCATCTCTTCTGTGTCAGTATCCGCCCCATAAGGGTCTTCATCTTTCACAGCCTCCTTCTTCTCCTCTTCTGTATCAGTATCTGCCCCATAAGGATCTTCTTCATCTTTCATAGCCTTCTTCTTCTCCAACTTCTTGTCTTGCTCTTTCTGAACTCTTAAGCAACAAGCACATACAAAATATATATTTTACAATCTAAGAGATTTCTCAGTAATCACTGATTTATTGCATCCTAAGGTACCTTTCAAGTTCATCATCAGTGTTGACAGCTTCATCATCTGTTTCCTGATCATAGGGATCTACATTGGTCTCTATATGTTTCTTTCTTTGTCCTTCCTCCTTACTGCTTTCACCTGTCATAAAGCCATCATGTTCAACTGTATTGTGACTGATGATTAAAATCAACAGCCTACTCACTGACAGAGGGCCTGTATGGATCAGAATCCATTTCTTCCTCATCAGATTCAGCTGCATAAACTTCTGGTTCACTTTCATCACTGAGATCCTCATCTGGACCAATAAGAGCATACCTGCAGAATCATACTCATGCACTCATCATCAGCCCTTACCCACCACCACAGATTCATTTTTAATTTTCTTGGTTGAAATGGTGTCTTGATCAACTCACCTCTTCCAGGGAAAGCGACATCGCTTGTTATACACATCTTCAATCCACTCCTTCTTCATTATTTTTCCTTTCCCTTTCACTTGATTATACTTGGGTGTGTTGAGAAAGGCACACCTGTATGGAGCAGAACACATGCAATCAGTTGACGGCCCCATTCTAAAGACTATTGATCTATATATACAATTCCACTATTAAGAAAAAGTTTTTCATAAGGAAAGAAGAAAATCTTTAATAACTTTACAATTAAAAAAGCTTATAGAGCCAAAGCTGATGCAAACTATCAGTTAACAGCTTTATGCAGCATGACACTCCAGTCAAGGACGTACACTGTTTTTGGATTGAATTGGTACCCCCCCTTAGGAGCGCTTCCATCAAGTATAGGCAGGACACCTTGTGGGAGGAAGGTGAAGTATTAATAGAACCATCCAACAACCATATGGAGCATCAGGCTTGACATCTTGAGGATCGTCTGGAAAGCTTGTGTTTACTCTGTTCTCCACAGTAGGGGGGTACCAATTCAATCTGAAAACAGTGTATTACCAGGTGGGTCAAAAATATTCTAACCATATCGAAGTCTTGTATTTCCTATACGAATAATTTCTCATGGAATCAATCGAATCTCCACAAGACACAAGGACTCACAGTAACTATTCACAAAATATGTTCATGTGTCCCCATTCTTCTTGATGACAACCTGGAATCTTTGAGTCTGTTAGTTGATTGCACTGGACAGACATGGTTTCACTCCTCTTTCAGCATGAACCTTAACTGGTTCAAGTCACTGAATTTCATTTATGAGCACTTGCATCCAACAAACACCACATACAGTAATCAGTTTGGTTATGGTACAGTTGCATGAGAGTCATTTGCATTCTTTGAACATTTTTGCCTCATAGTCAGCCAGACAATTTTTTGAACCTCAAGCCATTTCTAGGAGGATGAGGATTCATGTTAAAACTGCCAAGGTTGACCACCAAAGAGATACTCACATAGCGGTACAAAACATTTTTTTCTTTGCTGTTTTTGGGCACAAATAAATAGGAGTCACAAGTAGTGTGAATATTTATGGCCCACACTCTATATGGAATATCAACACAAGAAGAAAATTTTCATTCCATCTCCATCTCTACTGTATTGGTCTAAATATATCAGGTTCAAGAATACCAAATCAAGGCTTTCACTTTAGATTTGAATTTCTACATTCCCCCATAGGTGGATCCTGTAATGTCTATACATAAGCAAATGCAGATTGGTTGATGCACTCTGCACTGTGAAATGCACTGTGAAATTCATTTCACAGTGCATAAGTTCAGGGCATAAGTTTCCACTGCTGTGGGCCAATTATTTTTATACCTAAGAATAACTGTCTCAATGCTTTCTCCTCCTCCATTTAACACTTTCCTTACTGCTGTCTGGTGAGGACAATTCTACAGAGTGGAAATCTCCGCCGATGATCAGGAATGTGTTAAGACAGAGGCTGAGTCTATAACTTCCTGATTGCTACTGATCATCATACTTTCCCAAGTTCAGTCAATGTAGAAGGTTAGAATCAACTCATTCAGAAAATACTAAAGCTAGTGAGTTTCAGCAATGGCTGATCCTGCAATTTCTAACAAGTCACCACCAGAGATGTCAGTTTGCTACAAAGTAAATGAATCAAAATGATAGGCTTAATATCCATAACATGAGGCAAGTGACTCAAGTTACAGAGCCGGTCCATATATAATAGATGAAGCAAGGTCAAGAAACAGCAATCATTTTGGGCTTTCAACTGTTCATGGGAACATTGTATCATCCAATGGATTACAATGACCCGAGAGATCACATGAGCAAACCTGAAAGAAAGCAAGAAAGCAAACTTCAAAGAAAAGTTTGTTAAAAGGATAGGTTTTCAGAATGAGCAATCTTGAGCAATAAAAAAAAAAAAAATTTGAGCATTTATTTCTAAGCCTTTTGGAAGCTAGAACATAGAAGACAAAATGTAACTGATATAAGTCTTACCAATGTTTGAGAATACAGCTTGAACATGAAAAAAGCCTGCTGCTCTGTTTCGTTTTCATCCACTATATATCTTCCACTACCAGGTCAATCCATAAGACTCTATGAGCTGCCAACTTAAAGCAGAAACTTCCCAGAAAAGCAAGAATAGGGGTAGAGGGAGAGTGTGTAGGGAAAAGTAATGCAAAGACAGGCTAAGATGCATACCCATGGGGGTAGGAGGGGATCCAACTCTTGTGAAAGATGTCTATTTTGAATCTAATTAGAGACAGTGAAACCATGCTGGCTATTTATACACAATAGTGCTCAGTGAACAAAATTGCATCCCATCATATTCCTTATTTCAACTACCATTACACAGGGGGATGAAACCTCATTCACATTGGTTCTGTTTTTAGGTAATGAAGCAAAGAAGATTATAGAAAGGCAAAGAGAGAGTGGTAAACTAGTACAGATAACTTCCTTGTATCCTCATGCTTGCATGATGCCTGAGAATCCCTATACCACAACTATCATTGACTATTCCATAAGTTCATTGTAGGAGAAAGAGATGCATTTGGATCAACCAAAATCTTCTCCAATTCCAGCCAGTCATGATAACTGAAACAGTTAAATTTACTTCAAAGTCATCTGATCAGTCCCAAACACTCCACTTCAGCTTCAAATATTTAAACTAAAGCAATGAACCTCTTTTTGAATATAAAAAAAACACAAACACAATGGATGTTTTGAAAGATCCTGTTAGACTTATAAAGAGAAGGAAAGGCAGATGTTGTTTGTCCTGCATGCTATATACCATTATTAATTGCATTCTGCTTGATGTCAGTTGAACTGCCAGCAAATGATCATCTAATGCAGGCAGTATGATCAATTGGCATATTCATTTTTACAAAGAATTGTTAACTATCTATTACTTCTTAAATAGAGAAAATTGACATTTGTAGAACTGCCGATATTTTGTTTCCTACTTACAGCATAATGTCTCAAGCTATACTCAGTTAACTAAATATATGCAGGGATGATAAAGAAACAAACTCTGCACCATTTGACAAGGAACAGAACTCACACAAGATGTGTGCAGCCTCTTCCCCAATCAGGTTTGTACTTTGCTCCCATTTCAGTGGCTTTCTGCCTAATCTCAGCTCGAAGTGGGTTCTGAATACCACTGATCACAAACACAACATCCTCCATGAGCTTGTTGAATGGCCTTGTTACCTTCTTTCTTTGATCTGGCTTAGATTTCTTTGAACTGGATGGCTTGGTCTCATCTGCTTCTAATGAATGTTTCTTTGCCTTCTTGGAAGTGGCATTTGATTCTCCCCTCTGGATTGAGGCAAGAGATGATCCATTCCTCTGCCCAGGAGATGATTCTCTTCCTCTTTTCTCCTTGGCAGATGAATGATGACTTAGCTGCTTGTCTTCTCCATTTTTAGTAGTTTCAGAGTCTGAAAGGAAAATAGATGGAACATTAATAAAGCATGGCTTTCCACATGACTTAAACATATGTTCACTTCCCATAAGGAAGTGAACAGATAATGTTCCCAAAGGGATTCATGATAAGGCCGCAGTAAAATAAAAATTTCCATTAAAATTTAAAATAAATATTTTTCCTTCTTCCAGACCTTTTCAGGATTGGTCCCTGGGCCAAAATTTTTAATTTCATATTTGGTCTTGTGTTCCCATATGAGTTGTCACTTAATGTGTTTCTTTCACAAGTAAAGATAAGACTTCAACAATTTCCTTTACTTTTGGACTCTATATATCACCTACTTTCTAGGTTTTGTCAGTCTGTGGAAAAACTAAATCTTTGAACAAATGTTATATACAGACTTTTATTGAGTTTGGGTATTGTATCTTCCTTATCACGCCTTGCCAATGCCACTTCTGCCAGACTTGAAGCATCTCGAATTGCAGCTGCAGTGCCTTAAAAAAATATAGCCAGAACAAATTAGGCCTACTTATTATAAGACATTAAATTAGTGCTACTGTGAACTTCATGCAGCTTACTCGTTGAAGGTTGTTCTTTCTTTGCCTTCATCCGAGAAAAGAGGCTGCCAATGCTGATGGCATCCTTTTCCACAGGGTTTAGCTTGAAGGCACCAATCTTCTTTACTTCTCCCATTTTCCCCTCTTGTCCTCTTGAAGTGCTTTCTTCTTCTGGAGGTCCATGGATTTTGACAAAGGATAAGCCATACTGGCAATGCTTGTTGAATGGCTGACTGCACACAATCTTCACCCTATCCCACTTTTGGCAAGCCACAGACTCAGACAACTTCTCTCGCCCAAACATCCGTACTCGGTTTGGGTTAGTGCCATTGCGAGATTCAGCAGGAGTCATAAAAGAAGATGTCACCAGGATGACCTACAAAGAAAGGTAATGCAACAGGGAACTGAATCCCAGCTTATCCAAACTAAAAAAAAAATAAAGAAATCTAGACACATATCTCTCTTCTTTTTTACAGATCACTCAATTCCTAACAGTTTTGGAGATAAATGACTGGGACCATATTCAGGCCAAGATGAAGTCCATATGAAACCCCAAACAAAACATTCCTATCATTTTTCAATTTGAACTACCATTTTACTCTTCTCTCTGCCTTAGTCACAATTCATGCTCAAATTTTCTTACATTTTATTTTTGGATACACAAATCAGGCACACAAGAATGAAGTCCACATAGACAACTAAGTCCAGTGTTTCCAAATTCCAAAGTCATATTCTAAAAAAAAAAAAAAAAAAACAGTATATAGTCAACCCTCAATATAATGCCACTGTTGGTCATTGCCGATTTCTGCATTATAATGAGGGTGGTAATATATCAAATTTGCTATATCCCATATTATATGTCTATGGGAATATACATCACAATACATATACATCCAGGTTGGCAATGAGTGAGGGTGGCATAACAAGAGTTGACTATAGCTGTCCCTTTTTATCCCTCTGATTGCTTTAAGCATTAAGGGTTCTTGAAAATGTTGAGTTTATGTATTGCCTTAAAACAATAACCTGCCCAAACTAAACTTTCTAACTACAGTGTTTTGTAAAATGACTAGCAGTGAAAATCAGAATTTTGTTGCAGAAGTCCCTTTTCTTTAATCACAATTTTTCATATGCTCTGAGTCTTGATAAATAAATTGGCTGGTTATGCATATCCGTGACTCCCCAAGACTGAGTAATTTCAGAGAACCAAGGAAAAATTCCTGTCATAATATCTTTTGGTGAAGCATCCAATGTTAAATTTTAAATGATGATGGACAGAATTATAGAATGGTCCAGCTTTTGCCAGCAAGTATGTAAATATTATAATGCAGATGCAAAACTTCAAAAAAACAACAGTATTAAAAAGGTGTGTACATGAAGCAATTTTTTCCTACCCTTTCTGTTACTTTTCTGCCTCCAATTTTAAATGCTGGTCTTGGTTCATTTGCAGGCCTCATATGCTTTGCTTACTGCATGTTCTTGGTACAGGTACATTGGGCTTCATGGTCATTGCAATCCAGCCCACATCACACAGAGTGGTGGAGATTTAAAATATTATAGATACTAAATTAATCAAAGGCCTGATTCGTAATAGATTAAAGTTGTAGTAATAAAATAATTTATTGTTATTATTTTAATATAAATAACACCAAAATGTCCCTTTTAGCCTAATTTTTACCAGGTTTAAGATCTGCAACAACTTGGTGACCTTATCAAGCTACTTGGAATAATATTTATTTATTTATTTAAATAGATAGGGTGCACAGTAAACACAACAACCAACAAATTACACTCTAGAAAGGGGAGTGACTGCTTCCTCAGGAATGACAACCAAGATCACGATCCCTGAAACAGGGACACCCCTCTATGGTCCCAGAGAAGGCCTCAGAGACAGCTCATAGGTTGCCAACACCCATGACCAGCATACACTCAGTCACCAAACCTAGTTCTACTTCAGCATTACTTTTTGAATTCACCCAATGTTGCAGAGCAACAAGTCATACACTTCAGCTTTTGAACAATACTACTCTCCAGGAAACAGTGACCATATAAAAGGAACATAACGGAAAAAGCATTTGGTATATGAAGTGATAATGGATCCAACCTAGGCTAGATATGGCATTCTCCATTCATTGTCAGTATCTACAAGGAGCTAGAGGCTAAACTGATATCAACTGGTGCTTTGTGATTGTAGATAATGTCATATCACAGGATTGATAGGGTGAAATCTTGTGATATGGTGGTGCCAGCATGCTATTATATCAATCCTGCAACATGAGATGATTTATGCTCAGAAAAGCCATAGAACAAGCTATTTCCAGGGCAGCAGGATTTGGCACACTAGCTTGAGTTTCTGATTAAGCCCTTGTCCTAACAGAAAAACAAGGCTACTGTTCTACAGTGGGAAGGAGCCAAAATCCATCAGTTGCCATGGTCCTCATGCAAATAACTAGGCATAGGCTTGTCTATAGGCCTCGACCAGTTGAACACCAACCCACCTGATATCCATCAGCAGAGGAATCAGAATGCCCCACTTGAACCTCAATGAAGGCTGAGTTTTCATTTCCAATGTCAATGGCGTGAATCTGTGAGGACTTATCAAGCTGCAAGATCACTGATGCCTGCTTCTCCCCTGGTTCCTTGCATCTCCATTTTTTGAAGGAATCTGACTTCAGCAGATTTTCGGCAGGAAAATTCTGGAGAGAAAAAAAAGAACGGTTATGAAGTATGAAATTAGGCCCATGCTCTAAATAGGTAATAGATCGCGCACAGATTAAGCATACTTAAAAGTTTAACTTGTCTTGTTAATGTAGAAAAATCACTGAACTCGCAAAACTCACAGGATCTTCGCTGCTCAGGCTCACGATCTTCTGAATGTTGAGTGGGGCCATCTTTTGAAACACCCAGCCTAGCCTCAATTCACCGCCGATGCCTCAGTCCATACGGTAGGCCGATATGATGCAAGCAGGGCTGTAACCGATCTGTCATTCGCCTACTCAGAAACTGACAAGGTCCTCGTGTTCACTGGCTGCTGGGAATCCTGGAAGCTGCCATATTGTATTTCATGTGCGCTGAATTGCACAATTTCAATTACCTTGCGCACGCAATAGGGTATTGCAACTGTCCTTGGGATGCGTACGCAGGCGCACCGACATGGAGGTGGGAAGGTGGAGTGAGTTGGCCCCCTCACCATCCTTGAAAGTGGTGAGAAACCCGGCAATCTTGCCAGGCTGAGGAGTAGGAGGTTTCTAAGAGAACCAGAGAAAAGCGAACCTTGGCAATCATCCTCAAATCTAATCCTGAGGAGGTGGGCTAAATGCATGGTCCCAGATTTAGCGAAACTGACAGTAGACGATCGGTTGCAATCCGTGATAGTCTTCAGGAGCTGTAGGACCGATTTACAGAGGCTTAAACTCATTTGGAACATGAGAATTTTTTAGACTTGGATCGCCTTTGCTTTTCACTCAAAGAAAATCCATTGAGGAAATAAAGGGAAGGAATGACAACAAGTTCTTTTATGCATTTGATATGGGGCATTAATGAGTTTCGAGATGCCTGCGCGATGCTGGTCCCGAAATGTGTATTATCCTAATTATCCTAATCATGACGATCATACAACATTGTCTGATCAATAATGATGGGTTTCATTTAAGAATCATCGGTAGAGAAAGTACACATTTTATTCTAGAATCCAGTCCCTTCTTAACCATATACCCAAAACGTTCGAATCCACGGGCGATAGGACGAAGGCTGACGAGGAGTTTCAGCCATCAAGCGAGGTGTTTCTTGCAAATGAAACTTATCCGATGTCAGGAATCCAGGATTGAGGCAATCGCCGCCATCCTCGGTCGGAAATCCGTCCTAATGCCATCCCGTCGCATTCACTTGCGACGCACTCGTCGCCTCCCACTCTCCAGTTTCCGGGTTTCTTCTCGGGTCTCAGTATCGCCTGGGATGATCTCCATCGTCGTTCTATTCTATGAAGCGCAAATTCGAGTCGGCAAAAACGCTTCTGGAATGATAGGACCCGACGATTAAGATCGAGGAAACTCTTCAAGTCGAGACTTGATTATTCGTGTTCATCCTCCTACGTCATAGGTTCAGGACCTTTCCAGAAACATATCGCGGACAAATGCAAGTAAAGAGGAGCACAAGCGGTGTTACAGAAGAAAGTCCGCTTAATGGAACAGTTTTTCGTAAGAAACGGCCTCAAAAGTCCATCACTGGACGGGCCAATCCTCAATCCCAATGACTGGGACTTGGGACTACCGTCGTAAAAGTCGTCCTCCAGAGTGACATAACAGCAGGAATCTTGGAAGGGGATCCACCCCGTATCATATCTGGGTTCTTGGTCTGAGACCACTGTGTATGCATTCAAGGCCCAGATCAAGGACTGTAGATACACTGCATATTGAACGAAATCCCATATTTGCCAGAGGACATTGGCTAAAGATAATCTGAAATTGGAAACCTTGTTGGACACTTTCCTGCAGAAATTTCAGCCAGAACGTCGTCGGACTCAAACTTTCCGGGCGATGTTTCCACGTCGGTCTCATCTACGCACTCCGCAAATCAGAAAGCGTTATTTTTGCATCTTCAACCTAAGTGCTTTCGTTATCATTATTTTTCTCATTCTTATTGGCTACATTCATTGCTACATTGGGAACGATATGGTAATTAGCAGCAAACTGCCATACCGTCACAAAAAAAAAGAATTTTTCCCTCTGGGAAGGTTCGTATTGGTCGAACAACAGCCGCATAGCAAGGATTTCTGTACGAGCTGGATTTCATTCTCAATTTCTTCCTTTCAATCTAGACTCTACAACAACAAACAAAATGCTTTCTCCTCTTAACCAGTAACGAACAGAATCTAACTCCAAGCAGATCCGCCTGATCTCCAAACGAGCAGGTATGGCAGTGATTCAAAGGGGACGAGGGGGGGGGGGGGGGGGGGGGGCCCCCGGTGGGGGGGGGGGGGGGGGGGGGGGGGGGGGGGGGGGGCGCTTCCATCAAGTGCAGGAAGGACATCTCGAGAATCGAAGGTCAAGTATTATTATCCAAGTATTAGAATCCTCTTGGGTCTCTGAGTCCCGATCTGTGGAGCCCTGCACGATTGCTTGGGTTTCAATCTCTTCGATTATTGCCGTAGGAGGTAACGATATAAGTAGCCTCTCCCTGCCGAAGAGCCTGCGAGTTCCAGTCGTCTTGGCGCGGACGATGTTCCACGGCATGCAGTGACGCTCGAAGGGGGGACGAAATTTTACCAAAGAAGAACGACATCGTATGGAGAAATGGAGGAATGGAGAAATTCCGCTCATGCTTTTTTTTTATCGCGTTCATTTTTTTTAAATGAAGAATAAAGGCCTATTTTCTTCTCTATGGTTGCCCCCCAAAGGGCAATTACCACTGACTATCCGACAACCGTGTAGGGCAGCAGGCTTGACATCTGGCGGATTGTCAGGAAATCTTGTATTTTCTCCGTTCTCCATAATAGGAAGATACCAGGAAGTAACCTACTGATTTGCCGCATCTTAGGGACAGGGCATGAGTGTGTCTTCCACTTCACTACCAGCAGGAACTCTTGTCCATTCTCAATGTCTAATTTCTTTTCAATAATTGCAGGTAGAATTGCTTCGGCACATCAAATTTGAGCGAAATTTGAGGCATCAGTCGGAAACACTCATCTATGCTATGTGAACGTTTCGCGGAAATAGCTCTATTGGGAAGGAAGATAATTAGGGTGTAAGTCGTTGGCCTTTTTCTGCCATACCCTGTAGATATGAGAAACGTAGACGACAACTTCATCATTGTCGTCGCCCTCCCCATTTCATAGGATAGTGGTTCTCAATCTGTCGTCCGCGGACCACCGAGCACACGGACCTTTTGAAGTGAACGTGAGTTTGAGAACCACTCAGATGGACGCGTCTCGCTGTCTTGTGACCCTTTCTTATACTTGGCTCTTCATCGTTGGCGGACGGTTACCAAACTCGTCCATCAGAGAAGCGGAGACTTGGCTCTTTCTACCTCCAGGCTATGCAAACTTTGTGTCTCGTTGTTCGTTCCGAGCTGAGTATTGTTGGAAGTGTTTGAAGACCTGTCTCATTGGATGAAAAATGCATAACCAGCCCGATTGTTTTATTTTCGTTGAAAGCATAGCGTTTTGCTTGCGGCGCACTTGTCCGACCGTTCTTGCCAATCGAACTGGCGTCATGATACTCATTCGCCGACATTCTTAAAAAAAAAAAATCAATTAGGCAATTCGACTTATGGTGGTATGCTGCGTTTTTTTAGATTTCCCTCCAAACCAGAAAATGTTGCATCACTTGTTTTATCGCATGTGACAAAACAGGAAGCCAACTTCAAATCCCGCCCTCGAATATGCGCGACGTTGAATGCACATTCGCTGCGGGGATTCCAAGACTGAATGACAGGAGATGCAGCAGGTGTGAGGAAATGGACTCGTCTGAAAACGAGCATTGACCAACGATACATTTTTTTCTCGCAGGCAGTGGCTGTTGAATGCACATTCGCTGCAGGGATTCCAAGACTGAATGACAGGAGATGCAGCAGGTGTGAGGAAATGGACTCGTCTGAAAACGAGCATTGACCAACGATACATTTTTTTCTCGCAGGCAGTGGCTTCGGGAACGTACCCGAATATGCGAAACGTACTTTTTTGCAAACATAAAAAATGTTTTCGTGCTTCCTGCTTGCATTCCATTCTGGGAGAATCTTCAAAATCCATTCGACAGATGGCAGGGTGTATCGGAAGTTCAGATATTTCTGAGCCATGGCTTGACTCAGGAAACGAAAGGTAAACTAAGGGTCGCGAGACCCAAAAATATTAATTAATTAGGCAATTCGTTAATTTACTGAAAATATGTCCTACCTCATGAAACCAGGAAAATCTCCTTTCACCTTCTGTGTCCCCAGTTTTCGCTCTTCGACAACGATTTGGAAAAAACGTGGCTTTGATAAAAGAGAAAATTGGGTTTTGGATAGATACTTGGAAAATAAGGCTAATGTTCTTTTCAGTTGGGAATCCGTATTAGGACATATTGCGATATTTCGTGATTAAAGTTTTCTTACAACGGAAATTCCCTGGCTTTCCTTCATCTCGACGTGGAAAGCCTTGCTATCCCAAATTCCTAATTATGTATTTTTGGTGAGGCAGAAGGCCGCTCTGGCGAATTCGTGAGATAGTGAGGGACAAAACTGTGACAATGTTTGACACAGTTCCACTTGATGACTCATAACTCGAGTATGACGTAATTAATGCTATATAGTTTTGTTTAACATTTTCAGTCTGTTTTAGAATCCACTTTCTTTGTTCTTGACTCAAGTTCGCTGCCATCATTCACAATATCTGAAAATAAATAAATTTGAAATCTGAAAGAAAATAAATTTAAAAAAAACTAAACAACTGTATACCTACTTTTGGGCCACCCTGTAGACCCCCAGGCCCCTCAGCAGGGAGAACACCTGTCACGTTTCCCTGAGATACTTGTCCTTACGACCAGATTCTTCTCATTTCGGGAATCGGGATTCAATTCGGTAATCGGGGGTTGGCATTCAATAAATGGCTATTATTCGGCTACTCAAATAAATGATTGGAGAGGAAGGCGGGGGGCGGGGGGGGGGGTTTGGAGACCGATTCCTAAAACAGAAAGTTAAAACAGACGCTGTTGGTAAGTGACTCGTGTTAATGGGGCACTCTCATTTCAGTGAATTCATTTGTATGCCATAAATGAGCAAGCTTTTTGTTCATGGAATGGATTAACCAAGATGCAAGCATCCAGCCCTTCGGCACTTCGTGAGCAATCCCAATGGCGCATAGCAGAGGTATTGTCAAGTGACAATTTCATGACTTCCCATTGGTCAAGGAGGCGCTGTTTTGCCGTCCATTCCGATTGAAAATTGCCAGGTACTTGCAACAACTATTTCTAATTCGATAAGTACAGAGTGTTTCAAAAGCCCGTACTCATGGATATTTTGAATTAATTACATTACAGTACAGAAGTACTAAGAAATATTCAGGAGGTTATGTGCCAGGATTGATGTGTATGCA